TCTCCAAGTTTGCTCCCGTGATGGACTACAATCTCAATACAAATTAGCTAACTAAATGTGAGATTGTAGATCATCACGGGAGTGGTCTTGAGGTACTTGAATGCATTATTAAGATTTAACTCCTGAGTTTAGTGTCACTTTAACAATATTGTAGCTTATTTGTGTATCACTCAGCTGTAGATCCCCAAATCATCTCTGAATTCATACTGACACTGTCCTTGCGTCTGGAGGGTTGCTACTTTTGTTCCCCATGGTTAGTAGTTAAGGTACTTGAATGCATTTTTAAAATGTAACTTCTGAGCTTAGTGACACTTTAAGCTTTTCTAAGCAGTTGCATCCAATTCAATCCCCTCTCTGTGTCAGGTGGGCCTGAGCTCTCTCCTGGCCAACACCCCTTTTAGAGTTATTAATGCCAGCAGGATGATGTCACTGCTCTATTGGGTTAGGAGATGTAGATCAGAGGGCCAACAATTCAGTGTAGTTGGCCATCCACAGTAAAAAAGCCAGAGCTCTGTTGTCACATGAACGCATAGAAACACTTCAGAAAAAGTTAGATGCCAATTTATTAGAAAATATACGTAGAGAGTATCAGAGCAATGGGGAGACAACATTTAAAAGGAGAACAGTCTCATTGTCACAGATCGGCTAGAACTATGAGGCGAGTGAAAATCACTCACCTAATAGTTCTCCTTTAACTCCTTTAACAGGTAGGCGATTGTGTAGCCTTTCCTTTTACTTTAAGTTGTTTCCTCATTTATTCAATAAATCATTGAATATGTAATGACAACTTGCAAAAGGCAGCAACCCATTGAGCAGGGGTCTCGAAGTACCGGCCCGCAAGCCGGTACTACGTGGCCCGCAGCCAGCTGGCAAGTCGGACACACGGTCACGGACCGAGTGCCTGACTTGCGGGAGCAGCTACACGGTCTGCATCTCTGTCGGATGCATACCGCAGAGCTGCTCCTGTCAGCTCCGGCCGAAGCTCTGACAGTTCTGAGCTCCGGCCGAACGATGATTAGTAAAGTCTGCCCTAGACCTTACTAATCACCACTAGAACACCAGGGAATGATGATGTGCCTCCTCCCTGCAAAGATGCAAGCAGTTGAGGGGGCTTGGAAGGAAAGGAGTGGGGGGGAAGTTTATGATGACTAAAAATGTGTCCAGTGGCCTCCGAGTAAATTGAATTTGAGACCCTGCCATAGAGGGAATCAGAGTTTGTCAGATCATAAAGACACTGCAATATTGAATAAAGTTACATTGCACTAGCACATACATTCAGCCTACAGTTACCTTTCCGGGACACCTACTAAAAACTTTATTGCATATAGAAACCAGGTCAGAGCTTAGCTTCTAAGCATACACAAGGATGTAGGTCCATGCAGATTGTGCACAGGGATATGCTGACGACATGACCTCTGCTCCACATGCTTTCCAGCCTACTTTTATTACAGAGCGAAGATCTGTTTAGGTACAGTAAGGTATCTTTGCAAAGTATAAGTAAACGTGTTCATAAAGTAATGTTTTCTTTTAAAGTCTGTTAAACAGATGGGCTTCTTTTCATGTTTTCACTTCTCCAGAGACTAGTTTAGATGACAATTCTGTAAGCAGGCATACATTATTATATTATTCGTCAATCCCAAAGGACAGTAAATACAGAGCGCATGCAAGTACAACACTGTATACCACACACTTAGCAACAAGTAATTGCTCACTAGTTTAACAGTTGTATGCATTACCCTACACAATAGAATAATTACCATCTCCACAGGGGAGAGAATATCCCCCGCAACCATCAACAAACTACAAAAGGAAATTGAGCTATCATTCAAACACCTAGCAAAAAGTAATAAGTAGGTCTAACCTGGACACTAACATTCTATACATTACAACTTTTGACAGGTAAAGTACATCATAGAAATACCGATACTTAGAACACATTTATATGGTGATCTAACCAATGTTTATGAGCTCCAGTCATCTTAAAATACTTAAAGCATTCCACAATTATTATTAATGGAAGCTCTACGGCAATACACAAACGACAGAAGCAAACGTTTGGCATGAATGGTCTGTTCACACCAAATTCCTGAGCTGAGCAGCTTTACCAACACAGTCAAGTCAATCACTTGCCAACGCAGTAAAAACACACAGACAAGTCAAGATGCTATTGATCATAAAGATAAATAAAATTTAATTTAGTGACATTTCAATAAAGTTAAAAAAAAGAAAGCAGTGCGAGTGTTATAAGCAGCCCTGTGCCTTGTGCCCTTCACAGCGGCCCTACAAGTTTGTTTTGACTTCCATCTAGATACAACGTTAGATTTCGCCAATTAAAATCTGATAGTATACAGGGGAGACAAATTAGTGAACCATGTTTAATCTGCTGAAAACATGCATTCCCCAATATAAGATGCACTTTATCCAACAAAAACATATTAAGTATGCATTTGCAACTTATCAGCCAACATATGAAAACTTCTCAAAAACAAGAACATATCATGTTAGCCATTGCAGCCAGCCATTCAGAATCCTTGTTACATTTTTAGACCTGGACTAACAGTTGGCAGCAAAGTGGTTAAGGTTAAAAACTTTCTGACAGCAAATTGTAAGCATGTTCTGACCAGCTCACACATACATGTGACGGTGTGGGCTTTAATGCCCGGCAGCCGCATACATGCGTCCACTATCCTGTGCTGGAAGTGCACTCATTGCGCTGCAAGCACAGTGACCTATATGCGATACTGCCACTAACCCATTTACTACCCTAGGATGACAAGGCTCACTTACTGTAATTCCTCTATGGAGGAGCAGTGTTGTCACCCTTGAAAAGGATCATCTCCAATACATGGAAGGGAGATGTTCTGTAGTCTACAGAAGACAACTGGGAAGACTAATAACATGGTTTGAGATTTCAGTTCAGTGCACTGGGTGTGATAAGCACATTGGGTATCTGACAGAAACAGCAGGGATTTTTCTACACTTGCAGATTATGTTTTTAGCCTAAGGCTGGGTTCCCACCTGGGCCTTCGTAATATGCGCGTATGACACGCGTTTTTACCGTCATTTGCTGTCCAGGAAACGCTCAAACGCGTGTTTACGAGAGCTATCTGGCTGTATTCTAGTGGATACGCACGGAAATACGCCCCAAAAGAAGCTCCTGTACTTGTGTGGACGTAGGGCGTGTTTTCACGCGTTGAAATACGCCCAGGTGGGAACCATGCCCATAGGAAATAATGGGATTTCACTTGCTGAGCATTTTTAAGCGCTTCGATCAGCGCTGAAAAACGCCCAGGTGTGAATCCAGCCTAAAAGAAAAAAAAAAAAAATGATGCAGCAACCACTAGTAAACTGCAATGTATGTCAATGTTCTTCTTGGGTTTTGATATCCTTTATTCTCCTTTCTACCAGCATACATTTAGGAACGGCAGAGTCGTGGACTGTAATTTCCCCACCGCTGTTTATAAATGTCACTGGAGAAAAGACCTGCGGACGGCAGTTACTTTGTGAACACTGTAATAACCAATTACAGTCTGCTGTCTTCTCTCTCCTAATCACAAAAACAAAAAAATACTAATGTTTACATTGTTGGTCCCTCCCGTATCTCTTACAACAAAGGAATCAGTCATTTGCAGATGAGGGATGAATGGATCTGCAGCAGCATTCATTCATTTCCACTGACTCATGTTAAGTCTAAGGGCAGGCAGATGTAAACAAATGAATGGCCGAAATACCTCCGACCTGTCACATTTAAGTCCAAAAAAATGTCCATTTACATCAGCCTGCCCATAGACCAACATTAAGTGTCCATTCAAATCTGCATAAAAAAAATGACAGGCAGAGCTGAACAAAACTGTGTGTGAAAAGGATCTGTGTGACATGCATGTTAACCCTTCACATTACCCCTCATCTCCATCCCCCCACAGTATGTGGTCTGATTGTTAACCCTTTCACCTTCTCCTCTCTCTGTATATGCCCTGTACATTAATGATGCAATCTATCTAGCGTACCAGTGACAAGCCCCAACTCTTACCACCTCAAAGCCAGCATGTTTTTTTAACTGTGGCAAAAAATGAGATCACCTTGTGGTGCGATCCACAAAGGGATCCTTTCAGAAGGTCTCTGTACCTTCCTGTCTTTATTTATTATGTTTTATAACAGAAACTAAGCAAATCAGGGTTATTTCATCTTTTGTAGTCTTTTTTCCCCCCTTTATATTGCAAAAAAAAAAAAAGAATCCCAAGATTAAGAAAGCAATGGCAAACTTTGTTTTGGCTTTACTTCTCTTTTGGGTCGCAAGAGTACATTTACTAATGTACTCCTGTGACTCAAACTAAGCATATAGCGGGCTACTCCCCACTAAATACTGACATGGGTGTTATCCATGTGGGAAGCGGGAAAGGATAGGGATAAACGGCGAGCTGAGTGATCAGTGATATGTGATCGCTCAGCTCTTGATCTATAAAGCCGACATAGGACAGCTGCAGTGTCCCACATTTTGGGAAAACTATATTTTACTCTCCAAGTACTTCTTTAAATACCAGCAAAAGAAAGCTCCGTGTCTCAAATTCATATAACATTAATTTGGGTCCAGTGTTACAAGACAAAGTAAATGTCAAATTATCACAGCACTGAAAACGGGTCTAGTAATGGAGACAAAAACAGCCTGGTACTCAGGGAGTTAAACGCATTTATATACACAATACCAGTGCGAAATAAAAACACACAAAGTCAAAGCTGTGAGTTTCTGTAGGATTGAGCCAAGCACGTCAGTAGAACATGGATAACCTTCCCCAATGTCCACATATACATGCTAGCTCTTGCACCGTGCAGCCTACCTCTCCACTAAGATCGGTCCATGGTTACGGGTGACGTACTGTGTACACTGAACATGTACAAGTGGACGGCGAGCTGTGCCCTCCACGACTCTACCAGTCACCAGCATGTACAATGATAACTCCCCCCACACCGGCCACAAAGTCACAGTGTACATTTCACTCTACCTGTTCGTTTTCTCCGAGGACACCGACTGGATTCCACCTGACTGGATCACCGGGAAGCGGAAGTGGCGAGGAGGGGCACTTCCGCCGCCGGGCAGGGAGGTGGGAATACATTGGTGTGATTTATTTTACCTGCCGATACGAGCGGAGTGAAGTGTCTTCCTGGACGCTGGGATCCTGCCTGGAATTCCTTGTTTATTTATGGGGGAGAGAAATAGTAACACTGGGCAGCTCCTGTACATGGCGATTTTTTCGCTCTCTTTGTAATCCATAGTTGTGGATTTTAAGTACGTTTTTTGGTAAATATAAAAGGGTTCCGATGCACAGATGTATTAAGCTTGTCCTACAAGATCGGTCAGTCCTGTCATATTTTGCTTGAAAATTGTCAGGCACGATGAAGGTATAAAAAGGAGTTTACTGGAATTTACCGTTGACTGATCCGACTGTCCAATTACTGCAATAACCCAAGCGATGGCTGCGATAAATTATTTTGGTCAATGGTTAGCCCCCTTTCGTGTGAGTGGGTTTAAGTGATTTTTGAGGGCTCATTCACATCAGTTGTGGTACATTGGATTGTTCAGCAACTGATCAATGCTGGTCAGCGCTAGGGCACATAGAAAGCAATTGTTTACTATGTGCCTCATGCCCAACATGGGTATGATGGCAAGAAAATTAACAAAAATGTATCTTATTTGTACATCACTCGGCTGTAGATCCTCAAATCATCTCTGAATACCCCCACACTGCAAAGGTTAAGTGCTCGTTTGTGTCTAGGTGCTAAAAAAACAAACCCAAAGCTCCAAGCCGGCCAGCTGTACCGCCGCTCCCTCCAGCCTGTCCCCTCCCCTGAAGCACATTGGAATGTTCCACAGCATCCTCACAGCTATGCACAGTGTATAGACGTTGATGATTTACAGGACCTTAGACCACCTCAGAGGAGGGGGAAAGACATTCCTGGAACCGGTCTAAGAAGAAGCTGACTCGGAGCTTTACGCAAGCAGATCTTTGTTTGTTTTTTTAACCTAAACACAAACGAGCAGTTAACCCTTGCTGTGCAGTAGTAGTCCCACTGCAGGGGTTAATAAAACGACTGGAGTTCTTTAAAAATGCAGGACAGTACATTGCACAAAACATTTGCATTATTTGTTGTGGTTTACTATGTGATTTTATTAGGGCTGCAGCCAGGGGCGTAACTAGAAATCACAGGGCCCCATAGCAAAATTTTGTATGGGGCCCCGTGATTTCTAGTTCTGCCACTTGCAGAGCCCACCTGATATACCAAACAGCCCACCTGAGAGTGACCCTGCAGAGCCCACCATAGACTCTCTAAAGTGGGCTCTGCAGGGTCTCAGATGGGCTGCACACCTCTTACCTGTCAGCGTTGTCCGCCACCGTGGTCACCGGGCCCCACCTCCTCTTCCATCAACGGGCCCCGCCTCCTCTTGCATCATTGGCCACACCTGGCCTTAGATCGCTGGTCAGTGATGTAAGAGGAGGCGGGTTTGCTCTTAGGCGGGCCCCACCTCTTCCTCCACTGGCCTCTTCTGCTGTAGCTGTTGGCTGTCACTGACACAGCTCCGCAGTGGCTGTGAGGGGAAACGCCGCTGCTGAGCTGTGTCAGTGACAGCCAGCACCCTTACATGCCATAGCCAGGCAGCCTACATGCATCAGAGGGATGCCCTGGCCGGGCCCCATAGCAGCCGACTGGGTCGCTATGGCGATTGTTACGCCATTGGCTGCAGCTAACAATTATTTGCATAATTGATTAGTTAGCCGATTATTAACTTCGATTAATCTGATAAAGTAAAACAAAATTATACCATCATTTATTTAAAATAAAATACGCAAATGCAGCGTTACAGACAAAGTTTACTTCAGAATAAAACGGTATACACATTTTCTGAAATTACACTGCACTGGAACGCAGGGCATTGCAGCACCGCACACTGCGGACGGGAGGTGCATTTGGGATCCATTGAAATTAATGGAACCACAACACACCTCCTGCAGCAAAATTTGTCAGGCTGAAAGTGAAAATTACTTTTTTAAAAGGGACACAGACCACTGCAGCCAGCACCAGCGGGGAGGAGAACAAAGGAGCAGAGTGGTGGCAACTGGCAACTAATCGATGATGAGAATCGTTGCCAATGATTCTCATTATCGATTAGTTTTTGCAGTCCTATGTTATGATGCATAGTATGTGTGCATTGGAGTGCAAAGATGAATGAATTGTACCCCAACACACATACATTGCATTACCATGCTTGGGTTTGAGTTTGTGGGGGTTTGTCCCATTCTGTACACTGCACCATACATTTCCTTTTCCACACCACCTCATTCTTTATGCACCACTGTACTATTCTTTACACTGCTGCAGGGTCTCCATTTAACACAGCCTCACTCTGTACACTGTGCTAAAAATTCCACATTTCCTTATTTTGTGTGCTGTGTTGTACATTCCCTATTCCACACTGCCACACCAGCTACCTCTAGGAGAATCCTCTAAACCCTTGGTTCTCAACTGGTGGGTCGTGACCCAAAAGTGGGTCGCGACCCCTTGTTCAGTGGGTCACCACATGCCATCTACTTTTCTAGATGAGGCTCCAGAGTGCAGCATTGTCAGTTCTCGGGCCAAGCAGCCATTCAAAATATGCTGCCTGGTGCCGAGTGTCAGCTTGAGGTGGGGTGAGAGGGGTCCATGGCCGCGAGGGAGCTCCATCCATATGTGCACTGCTTGCAGCTCCCTCGCGTGCCCTGTAGAGGTGCCTGGACCGGGGTGATGTCACATTCTGGCTCCTGGCACCTCTATAGGGCACGCAAGGGTGCTGGGCAAGCAATGCAGATATAGATGGAGTGCCGTCACAGCACAGCAGCCCAAACTGGACCCCAGGCTGAGGATACACTAAAGTTTTCATAAGATAGGGAGACTGGGTGGATCTGTACCGCAGTGCCGTGCGTTCCATTGCAGTGCAACTTGGGTCACGACTTAATGGCCGAGGACAAATGTGGGTCCTGAGGTTACACAGGATGAGAACCACTGCTCTAAACCCATGTTGTATCTAGAGATAAGAGGTTAGTATGGTATATTTCAGCATGGGACTTTCAGTACCAAAAACAAATGTGAATTGCTATGTGAGCAACCCAGGACTGCTGATAGATGGGTACAGTCGGCCCTCCCATACAGTGCCCTATTGGGTCAGCAGAGGGGCCTGGGCTTGGCTTAAGTTGTATTAAAGGCTGGTCGTTTTCTTTACCTTAATGCATTCTCTGGATTAAGTTAAAAAATGACCAGTACCTTTTTGTGGCCCT